AAAACGACCATCAAAAGGCAGATAACCACCACCTAGAAACAGCCGGCGCAAGCACATTCYGACTGAGCAACATCAACAACACACAGCTCAGACTCAACGGAACCTTTGGAAAAAACACCAAAGGCGGGACCTGGACTCAATATAAATACCARGACTTTGGGGACTTGGTTGGGGGCCTGAGAATGATTACCTCCAGGCCGCCCCAGCGCTGTCACCCTTTGTATCCAGCTTACTTTAATAAAACGTAGATGAGAAATTGGCTTGCCTCATCTATAACATTATCAAATGCACAACAAAAACATTCACAACAACTTCATTTTATGTGCCTAGCTGGTCAGTTTATTTTCGGTTCTCTTTATAACTAATGGAGAGAGGAGAGATCAGGCCTGGGAATTTTCCAGTGGCAAATCTTGTTTACTTTCTCGTATTGGAAATCCTGTCCTTCTCTGTCATTCAGTGTATTCACAAAACAAAATAAGGTTTGTTACACTTTTCTAGAACTGGTTTCATATTCCTAATATARTCTCAAATTTCACAACTTTGAATGCTGTATAACAAGGCTACAATTAATATTTCTCACTTTTATAAGAACCATGTGTGAAATAAGTTTTAGTAAGTGCTTCATACCCTTAAGAAAATCTGAGTAGTAAATTGATTCACAATTAGGAGTACAGAAAATAGTCTTCTTTGAGAAAGACAGACAATAATTTCTGCTCACAGAGGATCTTATTCCCCCTAAAATCTAATAGCACTGATTGAAAGTTTCTCTCTCATCTTTTGTATAGCATGATATGTGAGATTCTGCCTTTGCAGTGGTTGAAACTTTTGCTGCAGCAGTAGAAACTGTGAGTCTCTTTCCACCTTCTTTCACAGCTTCTTATAATGTGTAAAAATCATGCTGTGAAGAAGAATCTAAGCCAATGATAGATGCATCCCATGGAACTATCAGTTCCTGGGTGCAAGGGCACTTGAATCCGCATATGTGTTTTATTGAGTGAATTGTGACTAGCATGGTTCAGAGACTGAGCTGGTGTGTGCTCAATGATCCACTCTTTTCCTCAGGGTTTACTCTGACAATTAACTACCTTTCAGCATTTTTCCATGATAAAGACAAAGTAGAAGATCAGCTAACACAAGCCACAGAAGTCAAAAATGAGAATGCRGAGTGCACTGTATAAGAAGGAGGTTATGCCCTACGTATATGAAGATGACAAAGATAAGTGTTTGCCACTTGATTAATTAACAGTCCATATGTTATAACTTCAGTTGCCTATTCTTCAGAAGCTTACATGAAGRCAGGTTTAGAGTTGCAAATCTAAGTTATAAAAGGTGCATTCCACATTCCTTTTATATAGAGACAGTAATTAGATTTACAAACTTACAGGACTTAGAAGTTTACTGAATTTACACAGGAAGGTAGTGGATTTATGCAAATGTATGTGTTCTGCCTAACAGGGGAAGGCTGTATGTGATGAGAAAGACCTGGTTGGAAGTATAGTATATAGTTTTATTCAATGTAATCACACAACAGAAGAAACAGAATAAAAAAGAAAGTTCTAGAATTAATGAGGTTCTGGAGGATTATTTGGAGAAGTAATATAAGATTATAAAAACAGGCATAAAATTCAGTGAGTAGAGGAGAAAGAAGCCAAGGAAGAAGAATATATTAAATGATGGAGTAGAATCAGATATAGATACAGTAAATCTGAGCATTGTAGGCACTGAGAGGCTACAAATATTCTGGAGAAAAATATGTGAATTCACGAACAATGTACATACATGAGATCTCTGGATATCACATAAAAATATGTGTTTTCAAGAGAAACTGGACAAGAAAATCATGCAATTCTTTATTTGCTATAATAATCCTAAAGATTTAGATTTCAGACTTCCTGGAAAATGTGTCTTTATTACAGACTATTCCAATCATGCCAGATTTTTCACTCATTCTTTCCAGTGTTAKAAATACTTTGCTGTTAAAAATTCTTGAGATGATTATTATGAGCAACAATGTCCAGACAATTTGTGAACCATTTGTGTTAGAATATCTCCAGACTCTACAGAGATTTACCACTGTGCCTTTTTAGGAACTGTGGATTATCTTGTAAGAATTGTCAGCTTTCCTGACTTTATTCGGTCAATCATATTAAAAAAAAAAAAAAAAAAAAAAAAAAATTATTAATGTAGTCAGAAAAAAAAATGAGAAAAAAAGATAAAATAAGGTCTGATGATTGGTCTGCTATGATATACATTTTTTGTAATGGTGGTCTTTTGAGTTTTGTTATTCTGTTAGAATTGAATTATAATTAAATTATCCAAGATAACAATAGCTTGTTGAGGCTAGTGATACTCACTTATCAAAGCAGGAACTGGATGTGCTATGCAGATAATTATATCTTCCACTGTTGGAAAAATAGTGGAAGACTTGTCTGCACAAGTCTTTCTAAGTGGAATTCAGCTCGGCTAACTCCAGAAATCTGGAAGCTGGATGTCTACAACTATTAACCAAAGTTTGTCCCTATGGCAGAAGAAACTATTTCCAGCTATCTTCAGTGTTTCAGTGTTTCCAACTGATTTGCCTCTTCCAGGGTGAGACAAATTTTCCTTAAAATACATAGCAGGTATTAAGATCACAAGGAAAAGCTGCCCTTGAGTTGTTTGAGACATATTTTGTAAGCAAGATGRGATTACAAGCCTATGAAAGAGAAAGCAGCAAACTTCAACAGATTCAATGAAAAACATGTAACACACGATAAAACTAGATAGGAGACTGTGATGAAAATAAAAACCTGTAAGGATATGAAACTTAAGTAACTGCTCAGTCAACAGCAAAAAGCAGTATCTGTAATTTAACTGAGGACATAAAAATAGATACAATCAGAAGTTAAATGAGTTTTTAAACAGTTGTTTAAAACAGAAGCTGCATCTACAATATTAGGGGTGTACAGCTGCACAAGTAGAAGTATGACTGCATCAGATATCTTTCACCTCTCAGTCACACTTAAGATAATATAATGCTGAAGACCTGGACATCGCATTCTCACTGGCATCTCAGAGTTAACAACAAACTAAGWAGTAAATAAAAGTAGAATAATTTCTCATAGAGGAAAAAGTTAAGAGTAATGTGGACTAGAAAAAGGAATATATCATCATATAGAGTTTTACATCTTAATATGTACAATATGTTTTTGTAGCATGAAAACAGTCTATTAACCTAATCAACATTCACCTTGGGTGAAATAATTTCTTTATAGAACCAAGCCATCCTCCCCACAAACAAACAAACAAACAAAAACAGACAACACCTCCACACCAATTCTCCTGTAATTTAGTGAAAAGAAACATACAGTCTAATGCAGTCTGATACAGTGTGGTATAGTCTCAAATCACAAAATGAGTTTTTGATGCAGAAGAACCAGCTTGTTTTATGCACTTTGACAGAACAGTCAAAGACTAAGGGAGAACACCTAGATGAAAAAAGTAGCCATTGATAATATATTTGATCATCTCCTGCATGGAGTTCTCTTACGCAGTGACRAAGAAGGAAAGTATCAGCAAAAGAATACCCTGTATATGCTCCAACGAAGAATGGAGAACACATGTATAACTGAGCAACTGATTTTGTGTGGCAGCACAGATAACAGATAAAAGTCTTGTTACAGAATCACAGAATATTCAAGGTTGGAAGGGACCTCTAGAGATCATCTAGTCCAACCTTCCTGCTCAAGCAGGCACACCTACAGCATGTGACACAGGGCAGCATCCAGGCGGGTTTTGAAGACCTCCAGAAAAGGAGATTCCACAACCCCCCTGGGCAGCCTGTTCCACTGCTCTGTCACCCTAACAGTAAAGAAGTTCTTCCTCACCTGGAGACGGAACTTCCTGTGCTCCAGCTTATGGCCATTACCCCTCRTCCTATCGCTGGCCACCAGTGAAAACAGCCTGTCCCCTTGCTCCCTGCATTCTCCCTTCCTGAACTTATACACATTAATCAGATCCCCTCTCAGCCTTCCTTGTTTATTCATTATTATCTGACATAATTTTCAAAGGGTCCATACTAGTTGGAAGTATAACCTATAGTTAAGGGAAGAATGGAACTGATAAGATGAAAATGACTATATCTAACTAGAAGATTAAACTATTTTGGGACTTTCCTCAAAAAGAAGATAAAAAGGAAGACAAAAAGTAATACTTCAGAATGGGTACAAACTACTGAAGTTTCAACATCAAAAAAGTCAATACTGGTCAATACTGGGTCAATACTGGTCATGAGCTAGCTGGGCTCATCAAGAGGGCTTTAAACTAGATTCGAGGGGGGAGGCGGTATCCATGGGGTGGCAGACAAGATGGTGGAGAGACAARTGGAAGAGATGTAAATGGGCTAGAGGAAGATCTTCCACGGGTTGAGAAGGATTGGGTTAGGGATCACTTACGCAAATTGGCCACTCAAAAATCTAGGGGCCCAGATGGGATGCACCCAAGAGTGCTGAGGCAACTGGCCGAGGTTATTGCTCAGCCTCTCTCCATCATCTTCGAGAGGTCCTATGCCGCGACTGAGAGACGGGACATAGCTTGATGCAAGCAAAGTGTCGATTTTATTGTTGTTACACACACGTTTTATATAAATCAGAAGGTAGTGTGTCTTACGCGGATTGGGTGCTTCTTCAAATCAGGCACTCCTTGATTGGTTAAATACAAAAGCAGCTACAAGCAGGTTATTAAAATAATGAGCAACAAATTAAGTCCTAACGGCAGACTTAAAGCAGACTAAGTTTATCTACAACCTTGAAACAATACTCCCTTCTAAAACTGCCTTTAGTCAAGACGACCCAGGCTTATCTTGTCTTTCCCAGGGCTTATGGCTGACAAGTTCCAGCACATCTTGCTCCAACAATGGCACTATGCTTGAGGCCCTGTCAAGGTTGGTCAAGTCCTGGCCCACATCTTCCCCTTCCTGTTGCACAACAAGAACCCTTCGGTTCTCTTAGAAAGATTCACTAGCTTGCTGCTCAGGAGGTCTGTCTTGGGAGTGGTCCAGTTCGTTGTCCGATGATCGTGGTAATGATTCACGGAAAGGCCGCACACTTTTTGCTGGAATCCATCGAGGGCCTTTTTCTGTGGAAACAMAAGCATAACCGMTCCCCCAAGTGATGAGGGGATATGGTCCCAGGATCTTACGTGTTTCGGGATCTCATACGAGCACCGGAGCTTTAATTTGTGCTTCAAGTGAAGAATTTGCATTAAAATGTCGAACTATCGGGGGATTATTATCTATTAAAGAACAATTCAAAAAGTTAAAAACATATAAGGCTTTCTGTAGACATTCCTCAGGGGTAGCAGTCCCTACTCCTCCTTTCTGTTTTTAGCATAGTTTTCAGGGTGCCATGGGCACACTCAACAATGGCTTGGCCCATTATCTGKTTTAACCTGGGTAGGTACMCCTAGMATGKTAGTTTCAATCATTCTACATAGCAATGCAATTACACAAGGAATACAACCTGTAATACAAATGAATACTATAAGCAAGAAAAACAGTTCTAGCAACAGCTTTTGTAACC